GGTATGTTCCGATATGTAGGACATACACCGACCAGAGAAGTGGGCCCAATATGGAGCCTTGTGGTACGCCACAGGGATTTGGGGGGGGGGGGGGGGAGAAGGAATTTTTGACTTCGACAATGAATTGTCTGTCTGAGAGGTAGGCACGGATCCAGTCCACGATGGATTGACGAATACCCAGGGCAGAGAGTTTGGAGAGGAGACGACCGTGATGCACCCGATCGAAGGCCTTAGTAAAGTCGAAGTAAACGCAGTGAACATTGCGTCCGGACGAGAGAGCCACGCCCCAGCTCTGGATGACGTCCTTCTGAGAAATCTGAGGGAGCTCACTCTGACAGAGATCAGTGTGGTTGGGTCAGCCTACGAGAGGCTAAGCAGTCCAACAGCTCGCACTGTACGACTGAACCTCAGCTACCCCAGTGACCTTGTGGGCTTGCGGGGATTCGTAGAGAACTGTCCCAGATTGGAAAACTTCAAGCTCACGGCGGAGTGGGTGGATCTGAACTCCGGTCTCGTTTGGAGAGCACTTCGCTGTGTAAAGAACCTCAAGGAACTGTGCTTGTGGCTCGATGAGATGCCGAGTTGTCTTTCGGAAATCGAGAGGAGTTTGCCGGAGATTTTGCCGCGTCTGCAAGTCCTGCACATCCATGGACCGCCACTCATGATCCCCTCGATCAACCCCTCGCTGATGGATTTGCTAACCCGATTCTTCAGCGGGGCCTACATGGGTCCGGGATGTCCCATAATGGACCACATCCATTCGTGCCAGATGCATCAGATTTTCCCCGGGCTTGTGTTATTCCGACGACTTCATCGGCTTGTCGAGCCCCGAGGGGTGGTGAGAGCATACGGATGTCGATGCGGGTCGGCGGATGTTGCCACAATTCCCCAAAGTCAAGCTGACCATGTTTTTCCTCCCGGCTCTATGTATACTATGAATGTCTGATGTCGGAGTCATGCACAATCATCGAATCGATTTTCGTTTGGAGAGCCGACGGACTTTCTCCGGAGACTTACTAGCCACGGGGTGGATATATTTGTGAATAAATTAATGAATATGAGTTAATGAATAAATTATTATTACTATCATTAGAGCTTGGAATTTCAGGCTTAGAAAAGGCAAAATAGGCACTGAGAAACAGGCAAAATAGGCGCTCAAAAAAGACTAAATAGGCAAAAAAAATCGGAATAGGCACTTAAAGACGGCTCATCAGGCAAAATAGTCAAGTATAGGCGAAAAAGGCACAATAGGCCTTTTGAGTCGAAATAGAAAGCACAAGCAGAGATTTGCATTCTAAGCGCCCGAAATTGACGGGGATAGAAACCTGAAATGGTCAGAATAGGAGGTGTTCAAAAAGTTAAATCGGGATGAAGAAGAATTGTGGGACACATCAGTTCCTTGTGCCGCATGTTCCTCCTCTTCTATTCGCGGACGCACAGAATGGGTCTGATGAGAAGCTCACTGGCTGAGCGACATTCGAGCTACATTATTCTGCGATACGATCACAGAAAGCCGAGATGTTGTCATTCAAATAAAAGTCAATATTTGGATGAATCACTTGAGTCGTGGATCATAGGGACCCTCAGAGCTTTATTCAAGGAATCAAATTTCAGCAGCAGCATGCTTGCACACGGGAATAAATTGGTATTTGACATTCTCTCGAGTCAAAGGATGTCTTCGATCTGACAGAATTCCTTTATACTGGGAGAAAGACCTCTCCACATCGACACTGACCAGAGGTGCCCGTCTGAGGGACGAAATTCTTCGAAACTCCGAAGAAACGCCGGGTAGAATAGTTGGAGTTCAGCCTTTTCGTGAACGGTATATTGCGGGTGACATAGCCGGCCTCGATTTCGATTGTCTTAGATATCGCGGGCTCGAATACGAGGCAAGCGCGGAGGGAGTCCGCAGCCGGCTGCTTGAGCTTGGTTGTCGGGTTGTCAGAGATAGTTTTTGAACCTCTTGGAAGATCTCTTTAGAGCGAAGCTGTTCACCTCGAGATTTTCCGCATGCGTCCGAGGAACATCAGGCCACTCGATGCGCAGCGCAAGCTCGTCGGAATCGAAGTGCGCCCTGAAATCGTTGGCTTCAATTTTAGTGAGGGCCCCTATGAGATGAGGCGCGTAATTTTTCGGTAGACAGACAGGCGGTGACGCGAAAGAGGATGACATGCAAGAGGCTCTTGCCTCCGCTAGCGGAGCGCTCGAATTCCCTTCAACTTCATTAGAGAAAAAGTTCGCGTATTCCTCAAGCTGGTACCGATGATTATGCGCCGCCACGAGATCACTGGTCCGTTCGGGGACTACCGGCTCAGGGCGCAATGTCTCCGGCTCCCCCCGGTTCTCCAGGAACTGTTTGAATCTTGCCATCCATGAGGGACGAGCCCTGAAGGCTGTCTTTACACTACACACCAAGGATTTGTTGACCTTTTCGAAGCACGAAACCCACTTCGAATGGACCAGGTTCGGGAGGTGGGCGGTGCAACTTACGTGGGCCGCATTGAGGGAGATTGATTCGAGCAAGCCTTTCCACGCTCCACTCATACAAGCCACATTGTCGATCACAAATCTTTTATGCCCAGCAGGGGGATTTCGTGTCGCTCACCGTCTTGTGATCGATGCTGTCGGGAACGGCGGATCGCAGGCGGGACGGCTCCAGCTTGGGTTCGGCAACTTCCGTGCAGCACGGAATAGCCAAGACGTTCAATACGTGCTGATCTTCTGCGTCGATTGTCTCGTCGCCAACGAGCGCGAGAGACCCCGCCCTCTCAGGGAGTTGTTCCGAGTTTCTGACATGAGCTCCAAACGCTCGAGGGGGTAATTACGGCGGAGAACAGAAGCTGACGGAATGATGCCACCGTATTATACATTGGATTCAAGAAATGACCTCGACTCCGAGTTGTCAAGAGCGTGCAAGGGTATACTGGCGGCAGTGAATGCTCCCGCTGGACTCACGAGCGTCGTTCGTTCCTCTATCCTCCCCCAACTCATTTGACCGAAAGCTTCAACCGAGTTGACCTGGAGCTCCACTCTTTCCGCCAACGACTCCAGGTAGCTTCGGTCTCTTTCCTGAGAGTCCTCCTTTGTGAGGTCGACTGCGCTTTCACAGGTGTTGCGCAAGAAGCGATCACCTCATGCAATCATCTTCCCGTCAGGACACTCTTCCGCTCGCATTTTGCGAGTCACATGCCCGAATGCTTCTCTGAGTGTTCATAGTTCGACGTCGTTTCTCGTTGGTCGTCGAATCTACTCCTATGCGTTTAATAACTATTTTCGAGCGTGCGCATCGCTTCCAGCAGAGTTTGGGGAAGATCGTTGAGAACAGGAGGCGGCACTTCTCAGCATGTGCATGCGCTCCCAGAGCCCATGACGATGACTATCTCCATCGAGGAATAGAATGTTGAGTCTACAACTGAAAGAGTCTCACTGCCGAGGTTCATATCGTGAAAAGCACAGAAATTCGCGTAAATCTTGATGGAAATCGCGGCTGCCACGAAACCGAGTCCTGGAAGTCATAAGTTATGAGTAGAGCTGCAAACTCCAGGCATTCAAAAACAACGGTAAAGGCAGGCAAAAATGCACTCAAGAGCGACAGAAAAAGCTTAGAAATAGCTTAGAAGGCACTCATCACGGCCCAGTCTTTTACTAGTCGGAATCGCCGGTATAATTACAGTGCGCAACGATATGGTACATATTCCGCGTTCTCCTGGCTCAGAGAGCATCTGCGGTCAGTCAGACGTGACTGATCTCGAGAAAGAACGTTCAACGTCTACGCTCACATTTGGAGCATGTTTGAATAGAGCGATGTCCCCTAGCGTGAGATTGGCTAAGGAAGAGGGATCGCTCCCGTCCCGGAGGACCGACAATACCTTCCGGAACGTATCGTATCCTGGGTTCTGTGCCAAGACCCCGACCATTTCCTCTTTGATGGGGAAAACAAGAGGCCCGATAGCGTCATTGACGCAAACCCTGATTTCGTCTACGATACTGCGGGCGTTCTCGACTGACTGTGTTGTACACTCAAGCTTTTTGATACACACAGGAATCTGACGGAACGATGAAGCGATGAAAATCAGTTGAGGTTTCAGATTCGGATCGAGGAGTAGGTATTGACTTTTCCGGACGGCGACCGCCTCCTCAGGATTCAAAGCTTGAATAACCTCTTCAATTTCTTCGAAGTTATCGGCGCAATAGGAAGCGACCTCCAGCCAGGTGCCCCAGCGGGTCAAGACTGGTTGCGGTGGGAGCGGTAGCTGAGGAGCGAGACTTCTGAAAACTTGAATCCACATTTTTCACGTTCGAGATGAAAGCATCGACCGAAGGAGTGAGTCTTCGAATTTCTTCGCAGAGGCGGTCAGCTCCATGTGAAAGACGAGTAATGTAGAGCATTTTGGGGAAGAGAATCTGCAGGCCCTCGGCAGCCTTTTTCATATACCGGGCTGCATATGTGACGAAGAGGAGCACTCGATCATGCTGAATTCCGCCCGGCCATAGAAGATTGAGGGAGTTAGTGAACATCTGAGCAATCGTCGCATAATTGTTTTTTTCCACAACATCGGACGCCAAGAGGTAGGCCGTACTCTGCCCGGTCGCTCTTAAGCGACCTATGATTGTATTCAGTACAAACTGCCCTTTTATGTCCGTCGATTCATCGATGAATATCACTGCCGATGGCTTCGCGTATTCTTGAGATCACTCCGTCGTAAACGTCTTTCAGGTAGATTTTTCGGAGAGTCGAACGGTGCGGCAGCGACTGATTCGTGTACTTCTCCATAAATGATCGAAAGGACGGATTCTGAATTTTAGAGAGAGGTGTGTTGACTTCAAGCAGCACTTTGCAGAGGTCTCTAATGAAAGATTTCTTCCTGTCGGACTGCTCCGCCACGAAATTGTTGGAGAGAACGACTTGTTCAGCATCCGGTTCACCTACACGATCCTTGCGCCGTATGTGATTCGAGCTCCTGATATGCTGCTGAATGAAGTATTTCCTCTGGGCGTTCACGGTCTTCTCACAAACTTTACGCATCAAGACCGTACCATCGGTGTCAAAGGTTTCCCATCCGAAAAGCTTCACATACAGACTCAGCTCCGAATTCAGACTTGCTTTCGGTTCCGGCATATTTCAGGCGTCGAATCCCGAAGTATTGAACTGTACGGTGATACAAGGCGTGGCAGTCGCACTCACGAATCGTTTCGAATATTGTCGGCAGCTCACACCGTGCAAGTCGACGACCGCGCGTCTCCGGGCTAAAAAGATCGCTCGCACGGTCACACACGTTGAACGCTCCATATCTGCGTTTCACGGAGCGCTTCTCTGCTTCCGAAGCCTCCCTTTGCAAGATCAAGTGTAGACCGAGCATTTTCTCACTGATAGTCTCAAAATTCGGAGTCGAAAACTCCACGAAGTTCACCCGAAATACCCCTTTTAGGCATTCATGGCACTAAAAAGCTCTACTAATAAAAACTCTCATAATTTCACTCAAAAACAGAAGATTGGGCATTCAAGGCATTTCGCCCGAACTTCGCAACTCTTGTCATGAGTCATGGCTCAGGACCAGATCACTCGATCGAGTCATTCTACAACGAGAGCGCTCCGCCACAAGGCTCCGATCGAAATTCCCATGCATGCACCCTGAACAGCAAAATTTGCGCTGGTGCTACTGTGACAGTTCTTCCGAAAAAAATGTCGCGGTGCTCGAATGTGAATACACATTCACATTTTGTCACAACAATGAACACGAATATTTTTGGGAATACGCAATATTTTATGAATGTTCCCTCATCTTCAATGTCGGAGAGCGGATCTCAACCTGCGAAATGGCCCTGCACCATCGATCGGGGATGTTGCATATATGCGTAAGCGATTCGTGTTTCCTGTTTGACGAAGGCTGACCTTGTCATTGTTGATACTAGTGACACCATGGACGGATTTGCGCGTACAGATGCGTACAATAAGGCATATTCTTGAGTCTCTCAAGCATCGTCATCATTATTTTTTCAACATCTGTGGGGCTTTGACATTTTCCCTCGAGCGCCAGGGCGGTAACGGCAGGAGAACTCTCGGGAATTGATCGAATATTCCAAGAAAAGGAACGCGGATCTCAAGCTGTGATTTTTCTTCTTGCTGCACGTTTGGGGACACTCGACATGAGTAGGATTGCGTCGTGCCCTCATCCGAGACGTGAGAAGCTGAAAACAGCGCTGTCGGATCTCGGATCCATCCGAGACCTCTTTTGAATCACGAGCGATGGTGTATATCACAATTATGACCAAATGCGTCGTCGATAGAAGTTTTTGGGGGAGATGAGCTGTCATCGCCGACAATGCTCAAGATAACGTAGTGCTTATCATTGGTCGAGGCGGGGGTCCTAGTTGTCTCACCCTATTTGAATCAAATTGCGTAGCGATGTTCGATTGTTCATGATTCTACAGGTAGTATCGAGTTGCCTTGGATCGACGGCGAGCCTCGTCACGGAGCTCGACACTCACAGATTTCGTTCGCGCCGACTAAAGCTGGCTCCCGGCAGCTCCCTCATCGTTTCCTGCACGCCTTTTTCGGCGCTGAAGACCTTCTATTCTCGGTCTCGTGATCAGCCTCGGGGAATTGTTAAGATGCGCTTCGTTCCCCTATGCATCTGATCCCGTCCACATTCAAACTCAGTTCCACCTCGGACGGCGATAGTGAGGAGTTTCTCTGAATGAGTTGAGCTTCAACATTTATTATCATTGAAGTTGAACCCATGTCCTTATTCATTCAGGCGAGCCTGAAGCACTGCACTTCCATCGGAAGAATCTGCGGTTCCACCGAAAATTATCGCTCTCAGGTCGGTCGCCGCTCTATCGGGGCGTGGCCATGAGGTCGGGAGACGGCATTCGATAGTTCATCCCTCGTTTTCGATCGCTTGTTGAGAGGCAGTCTACGAGTTCCGGAAGCGAGAGGCGGTCCCCACGGCATTTCGACTTCAACAATATAACTGCATGGATAAGTCCACCTTATACCAGATGAGTCCTCTAATAAGACTTCCATCACTGAGCAGTCTGTTCGAAACCGAGCCGCGAGCTCAATCGAGAGAAGGCATAAAGAGCGAGCAAGCTGGCGCGGATTTAGCTGCTTAAAACAAACATTTGCTCACACTTCGGTCGTCCGCACCGTCTTCTCCTTCAATATTCGATGGGACCGAATCGCGTCAAAATCGCGGAACCGACCGCTCTGAGACAGTTTCAGACAAACATGCTCGCTCCGTGTAATTGCAGCTTCCGTACACTTTTCTGTTTGTCGCTGCTCCTCATCCATGATGTAGGGAGCAAGCCGCGCTTGAGAAAAGGGAAGAAGTTGAAGCCTGAAATCAATTGGAACCATTCTTTCTATGCATCGCCATTCGGCTCGTGCAAGACGCTGAGACATTTTGATTCCGTTGAAGCCTTCAGAGCGCAGGCGTACGCTGCGACACTTTTCCGTAAATGCGGACCGAGGACGATCGTGAAGCTCGGATCGAAGTACGACTTCCCTGCATACGGTGAGCCGACTTAAGTGTCTTCCCTCCTAATACCGCCAGCCTTGGGGCTCACGCACCTTGGGAACCGCCTAACTGCTCCGGCGGTCTCTATGGGACCACATCATCCCGACGATCAGGGATGCGGCTCCCGATGTCCTCGGAGGGGGTGGAGTTTATCGACGCAACCCTTCTCTGAAATCGAGTCTGTGTGGCTTACGGGGGTATCCCTATCGAATCTTACAGGTATCGTCGAGCTCACCAATAAGATCTGCCTAGGAATAAATCTCATCTATGGCTACCTTGCCGACGACGGAAGTTTGATAGCCGCCGATTCGACTACGACGAACAGCGTAGTGCGATTATTGACGTGGATACTGCAGGCTTTGAGGCGCTCCAGTATTTCGTTCATCCTGAGGAATGGGAATGAAGCCTACAATCTTACCCTCGATAGTCTCATCGATTTTCTCAATGAAACTCTCCCGTGTGTTTTTGATACAGAGAAAATTTCGCAAACAGACGGCGACTACCTGAAGCATACTTTGAGTCATGCGAGGGTTATTCTCCTCTGAGGATTCCGATCGATACCACCACGGACTTCTCTCGCATAGGGGAGGTTTCTGAAACACGGAGTGCTCCCAATGAGCCTAATTGAGCTTTGTGGAAAAAAGTGCTCCCATGTGAATTCTTCTTGCCCCGAGCGCGATGGATGAGGGGGAATCTCGATCATATCGGGCACGTGTGTATTGATATCGATTGAATCGACTTCGAAAGCATTTATTTTTGTACCAGTGATTCCGAGTTCTCGATTCAGTTTCGCTGGACTTCAGATTGGACCCAAGTGAGATGCGGAGTCCTTCGACGATTATTCCGGATCGCACGAAAAGCCGAAATCCGCGACATATCGAACACAGCCATGATCATCATCATCTCCCGATTGCCCGAACGCTGATTTTGTTTTTCGGTTCCACAAGGACATTCGAGTGCCCAGAGCGTTGTAACTGTCCTTCGAGCTCATTCGGAGCCAATGGGCCTCGACATTGTCTTCCTGAGGAGCTACATCGAGGTCTTTGACCGCAGTCGAGAGTTGCAGCCCCCTTTTGACCCTTCTGCTATCTGGGAATACTAATTGTGTTGGAAAGTGCGCTGAACCAACGGAGCCGGTGCGGCGTTTGCCGCGATCACTTCGCGGACACGGACAACTGGGCCAAAAACCAACTGGGCCAAAAACCAACTGGGCCAAAATCAACTGGGCAAATGAGCCAACTGGGCCAAAACCAACTGGGCAAATGAACGAACTGGGCCAAAACCAACTGGGCCAAAACCAACTGGGCAAGACTGAATCGGACCGGGAAATAGGTTTCGATTGGAAATGCCCTCTGTTCGGAAACTATGATTAGGAATTCGGAAAAAGGGGTGATCTTTACCTAAATTAAAAACTCATGTTTTGTCTTCTTTAAATCAATCGCTGTGACACTTGACTCTTTTGTGCCATCATGTGAGCGCTCTGTCTTTCTCGGCCCTTCGGTTATTCGCTCGCCCAGCGACCCAGTTTTATTGCGCGAAAACTACCAACGACCGTGGTGGTAGTTCGCTTGCTGTTGAGGGCTGGGGAGCGAAACTACGCGTCCATGAGGAAATTGTGAGCTATGCCTCGGAGGTATTCTACATGCTGTAGATGTTCGGCACGCTCGACCACTCCCAGGATTCGCTCGTCTGCACGAACGTACTTGGTCCTTTTTGTTGGAGGAGCACCGCCGGCTACGAATGATTCGACTTGTAGGTCACGGCCTTTTTGGACTTTCTTAAGCCCGTCGATGAACTTCCAAATTGTCGGATGCTGTATCCCGAATTCAACCTGGAGTCTGCGATGTGCCGCCTCCGCATAGTTATTCGTGCGGGCTTCTCCGTCGAGCGTTCTCTGGTATACTGACCACATCTCGACCGGGAACTGCGGTGTTCTCCGGTCTACGGTACCGTCGGCTCGGATCCGGTTCATACGCCCTATGTAAATGTCCTCGAAATAGTTGAGAACTGGAATCAACTCTTCCGGCAATACAGGCGAAAGCTCCGCGACTGCATTATCTAACTCTGACGGCGGAACGAATGCCAAAGCAGCTATCATTCGGGCTTTCAGTGCGAAGTCGTCATCGTTGGTATAGCGACTCCAAAGACCTTCCTGAGCTACGCGTAGTTTGATGTTCTTCACCAAGTGGAAGAAGCATCCCTGAATGCGTGTTTCGGGCGGGAAGCAAGCCCTGACCGCAATCATCATGGCCCGCTCGTAGTCCATGACCACGCTGGCGGGACAGAGGGCCGGCCAAGCCTCTTTCAAGAGATTCAGCATCCGAGTGTACGATTCGGCTGCTTTGTCTGGGAGCAACGCGTAGGCGACGGGCACAACGCACTGAGCTCGCTCGGCCAGAACTACGAACACCTGTCAATTGAATCCGAGTTTCAATAATCAGGAGCTTGAAATTGTTTCAATAAGACATTCGATCATTCTGGAATCGACCAATAGAGACCTGTGAGAATTGCGGCGGCGCGAGACTGAAAGTTCCATCGACATACAATTTGTCGACGAGGCCGATCCAGGAGCTCGACGATTCTCTGCCGAATACCAAGA